AAAAGATTTAAATGTAAGTTCTGAGTTTCATTGTGAGATAAAGTAAAATTCACAGAAGAGCTAACACTGTATAAAATTACTTATTTATATTATTTTATGATTACAATAAAATGGGAACGCTCTTTTCAAAAGTTGTTTTTCATTCCCAATGCTGCAAGAATTACATAAAAAGTTTTATTTTTTTAGTTCTGTGTCTGTTGTTCTGAAATTGTCTGAAAGTTGCTAGGAAAATGGAAGAGGGTAGCCAGCTTCGTGTGCAGGATTCAGGTATACACTCACTTCTTGGTTCTGCTGTGAACACAAGACTTGCAGAATGAAAGCATCTCTCTTTTATCCCGGAGTTCTGTGAAGATTCAGACATGAAGTATTTTAAGATACGCAGGTGTTAAAGGGAAGCGCTGCTTTAATACTGAGAATACACAGAAAATCCTAACATTTTAAAACATAACCAACTTTGAGCCTGCTGCTACCTCTTTGTGATGTGTTTTTTTTTGCATGGGCTCTTCACGGAGGGGGCTCTGCCCTTCCGTTCATTCCCTGTTCCCTTTCTAGGACATCCAGGAAGCCAACTTCAAGACGTCGAGCAGCCGGCTGCTCGCGGCGGTGATGTCGGCGCTGTGCCACACGTCGGTGAAGCTCACCTCCATCTTCCCCATCGCCTACGACGGGGAGGCGCTCCTGCGCTCCATGGTCAAGCAGGTCAGCACCGAGAACGACTCCGCGCTGGCCCACCGCTTCCCTCTGCTGGTGGCCCACATGGAAAAACTTAGTCAGGTGAGGATAATAGTCTAAAAATGGAACGAAGCCTTCAGTTTGGCAGCTGAACATGAGCAATTATGTAAATTGTAGTTTGGGCTTTTTAAGTTTGTAGCTGAATTTGCCCAGATGTTTCCTTCCAACTGGATTGTTTCAGAAATGTACACTTTTATCAAAACTTTATCTTTTAGTCTGAAAATTTTCAGTTATTCTTATATAGAGAATGTTTGAGCAAATATGATCATTACACCTTTTTCGAAATCATATAATAAGTATATTTTAGAGTTGTTCTTTTGTTGCCTCTTGTTGCCTATGTTTTCTTGACTCTTCAATTACCTGATGTTTATAAGAGGTGAAAAGCAAGTTGTCTTTTCTAAATTCTCTTTTTTCATATCACAGAGTGAAGAAAATGTTTCAGGGATGACAAGCTTTCGGGAAGTGCTGGAAAAGATGTTGGTCATTGTTGTTTTACCAGTGCGGAACAGCCTTAGGCGAGAAAATGAGCTTTTCTCTTCACACCTTGTTTCTAATACCTGTGGGTTACTGGCTAGTGTTGTCAGTGAGCTTACGGCGTCTGCACTGGGATCCGAGGTGAGGCTGCTGTAAAATCATTCTTAATAAAAGTCTTTCAGGGCATTTGTATTATTGATAAGATATATGCGGTTACAGAGGTGTATAGATCTTTCCCAAATCTTGCTTCTTCTCTAGTAACTTTCTGATGTCTGGCATAGTTCTAAAAGCAAGTGTTCACTGTATTAGTGAAATGCTGCCCCCGATTAGCTACTTCATTACGGCAGTATTTCTTTTTGAGTGTTTTTTTTTTGAAGATTTCTTTAGAGGGTTTTTCTTTTTGCACATTTGTATAGGTGTTTATGTACTTGAAATACATTCTTTCAGTACACATTGGAGGCAGTTCCACGTTTCTGAACATCAGTGTGCCAATGATGGCATTGTGGGTGCCTTGTATGCTTTATTCTATCATGTTTTTGGTTTTGAGTCAGAATTTGTGATCTATTTTGTTCATGCATTGTGTAGCTCCCCCTTTTATATGTATAAATAGACATACATGTATTTGCATGCATACATATATGGAAATGTAAGAAATAATGAGACTTCAATAGAATTTTTCTTGTTTATCTGCTTTTCATCAGAAAATTGAGCGTCCTTTTGAGTTTAACTATGGTGTGTGGTTATGAAACTCTGGATTTTAAGATTCCCCTCTTACAGGATTGTAATATCTTTGAATGATAGAAATGTACATTCATTTTAACAAAGACACATCACTTTGGGTGTACTACCAGTAGATTTTTTGACAGAAAGGAACCAGTTTATGATAATCTCTCAATTAAAGATGGTTTCTGATGTATTTTTCCCCTCCTGATCATGGTTTTAGCAAAGGCATATGTATCTAACTCTTCTTTTTTAAACATGTTTAAGGTATCAGCTATGCTGATTCATCCTATTAAATGTATATTTAAAATATTTGAACATTTTGGAATTATACGAAATTATATTTCTTTTTATCTGAAGCTGGAAAGAAGTTCTAACAGTGGCATTTTTTATAATTTATTCTTTTTTGATTTACTGTGTTAAAAAAGTCAATT